CTAAATAAAATAATTTTGCTTAAACAAATGGTATGTCTTCATTATCTTAGATCTTACATAGAGATTATTGAAGTTTCCAATCCCTACTCTAAATTTTGCCATTGAAAATAAATGATATATTCTTTCTTTGAAAAATAATAACTTGCTTTTATTGTTGTCCAGGCAAAAGGCCCTTTTTGTTGTTATTCTAGTCTATTTCAGGCAGACGTTTTATACATAAGTGTGTGTGTGTGTGTGTGTGTGTGTGTGCAGTGATTTAAAAATCTCAGAACATCAGGAATAAAAAGGGCTTTAAAAGGTATTCAATTACATTTCCTGATTTGATGTTTGTATATCTTTCACAATATCTCTGACAAATGACCTTCCAAGTCTATTTTAGAACCTTCAATAATGGGAAACTCACTTTGGCTTAGATACTTTTCTGCCTTTTCTCTGTTTTGTTCTCTACTTACAGAATTAAACTAAGAGTAGAAATGTTAGTTGTAAACCAAAACTAACTTATTTTAACCAATTGATTGAATGTATATCTGAAGTTCAAGTCACTGATAATCTTTACATGTGAAATGCCTACTTTTGCAGCCACATTTATCAGATAAATCCTTATGTTATTCAGCCAGAAGCTATCAAGTATGCCTTCGGGGGATACAAATCTACCAGTGCTTTGCAATTAGATGATATATGCTTGCCTTGCTCCCTCACTGTACCTCTGAGAAGGCATTTAAGATTGTAATTTTTAGCAGAAAATGGCATTAGTTTAACTTTGGGGTTATACTTCTCTCCAAATACTATCAAATTACTAATATTTAATTTTTGTGAATGGCTTAGCTGATGCAGGACAGTTAGTTAAATTCAGTTTAACAAATGTGGAGCTTTGTCTGTGTCTCATATGCTAGCCCAGGCACCTGAGATGATAAAGTTATTGCTCCCACAAGAGGGGTTCATAATCTAATGGGGAATACAGATATGTCAATACAAATATAATAAGGAGTGAGAAATCCTCTACTGATGGCACAAAGTCTTGTGGGAGTGAAATGGCACTAGTGATTAATTCTGACTTGCCCGCCTAGAGGGTGGATGGTGGAAAGGGTGAAGGGTGGTAGGAGAAGTAGAGAAGAGGAAAGGAGGAAGGGGAATAGATATAATGTATGAACTTTCACATGTAGTTGAACGCCACAGTATCCTGAATGTTACTTTGTTAATTATATAAATAATAATAGCTTAGATGTGTGGACCATCATTATGTTGTTGAATGGTTAATTTTCTAATAAAAATGTGTTTGGCAATGCCAAAATTTTCAGTTTTTATTGATGCATTAAAATAATTTGTCCTCAAATATAAATGACAAATGAAGATGTATGCATTAAAATTAACCATGGTATTCAAAGAACTTATTCAGAGTCATTTGTCCCCAGGATGTGATACGTTTTATATTTAGTTCTCAGGACTTTCATAGTTCTTTGCATCAGTCAGTTTGTATCTTTTACTCCATTTCATTTGTTCAGGAGGAGAGTGGGGCCTTTTAACCTATACAGACAAGTATTTCTCAGCCCTTAGATTCATTCTGTGCCCTTGGTGAGGCTGCATTTCCCATCTTCAGGATGGCAACCATGGGTTTATCCAAAGAACTTTAGGGTAGTGATTGCCCTGCCATCGTTTTTGATAAAGTGCTTCCCCAGAGAATTGTAAGTTCCATGAAGGAAGATACCACGTCTGACTTGTTCTTTGATATAGGTCTAATGCCTACCATAGAAGGTCCTCATTTGTAGGATCAGTGATTGTATTACTATTGTTTCACCGTACTTCAGGTGTTAGCAATAGAAGTAAGAGGTAGGAAATGAGAACATGATGTGATTTCTTCTTTTTATGAACTACCAAAGCATTTGTTTCTTCTGCAGTCTTACAGTCATATATTTGCTTTTGTTTTTGTCTGCTTGTCTGTTTTTTGCTCATTCAGCAGTGCCAGAGATGAGCTAGGCACTGTGGGGAATTTAGGCCCTGCCCAGTCTGAATTCTCTCATCACAACAGAGAATCCTCAAGAGCGGACATCATACCATACATATATTTATCATTGTATTATAGTATGTATAGGTGCTCAGTAAGTATTTACTGAAAACTGAATATTAGCACCTTTGAAATAGGAGAGTATCTCAATGTGCTGAGAGAACCATGTACTATAGACTTACTTGCTGGACTTCTGTCAGCCAAGAATCTTAAACACTGTGTTTTTCCCTTTGTATCTTTTCAAAAAATGTTTACAAATTGAATGTATTGAACTTCCCCCATGCTGTGCATCTCACTCTTCTCCTGTACAAACAAGATGTAAAGACAGGGTTGGTTGGTAGAAAGGAATATGCTAATACCTAGGTATCAATACCTTTGAGAGACAGAGATAGAGATGTCAGTTGGCTAATGTTATAGGATGGAAAGCTGGTACCCTTTTTTCTCTTTGCCCATATGCTTTTCCCTTTTTTTCTTTCATTTCCATGTGTCATATGATAATAATGTATTTTTTTGCTGATCCCAAACAAGAAAACCATTATTAAGGCTCTGTTGGAGCTCTTTTATTACTTAGATTATCTATGGTCTTATATCATCTTTGCCAATTTTCTATTGTCCTTTCTATACTAATGACCTTGACTGCAAACCTCCAGAGTTCAGTGACTGATTTGTTAATTAGATTGGGGCTTTTTTTCCAAGAAGGGCTGAAGCTCTTATTACAGTATGATTAATAATATTGTCGCCATGTATATACATACTTAGATATGTTGTGATCCATATTTTTTCAAAAAAACTGTCTTGGCTATAGATAATTTGGTTTCCATCTGTGAGAGGAGTAATAAAATATATAAGTGATTAACATTTTCAAAAATATTCAAGCTTCTGCTAAGTACTAGAAATGATCCAAGGGATACAGTGATGAGAAGAGTAGACATAGTAGTCTAGTGAAGGAGAAAGACAATAATAAGGAACAAATATATAAATACAAATTCTGGTTATGGAGGAAAGCATCAGGATGCCACACTAAAGAATGGAAGGTCCAGCTTCAGTAGGGTGGTCAGGGCAGGGACTACATTTCTGAAGATGGGACAATTAAGCTGACATTTGGAAGCTGAGAAGGATGCAGTCATGCTCGGATGACAGAGAGCCATTGCAGGCAGAGCAGAAGCAATGCTTTCTGTTTGTTTGTTTTTTAAAGCCTGTCCTTTGAGCAGGAACTATGTGTTTGGGGGTGAGGATGGTTGTTGAGCATGGACATGTATATTTTGTCCCCAGTGAGTGAGGTCTAGGATCAGGAATGCAGACTATGTTCATGACACAGGATTTCTTTGCATTTCCATACTCTCCTTTACAGTGCTACCATTTTAGTCTTTGCTATCAGCTCAGTAGCTGCAGACCCATGTAGATAAGTGTTGTATGCTGCTTTCCTAGTTCCCTTAGTTCAGAGCATGAATAGGTGATTGGTACATAGATGCTTCTAAGTATGAATGGGTAGCATTAAAAAAAATTTGTTAATTTGTTTTTCCAGGATCTGTGATTGTTAGGAGCCTTTCTTCTGGACATTTTCAGTACAATTTTAGCTTTTCTTTGTCATATGGAGTTGAGTAATTCAAAGTGATAGTAATAGAATCGTTTTGAGGACACGTTCTTTGTTGTTGTTGTTGTTGTTTTAAGAGACAGAATCTCTCACTCTTCCCCAGGCTAGAGTGCAGTGGTGCCATCATAGCTCACTGCAGCCTCAAACTCCTGGGCTCAAGCCATTCTCCTGTCTCAGCCTCCTGAGTAGCTAGAACTACAGGCACACAATAACATGCCTGGCTAAATTTTTGATTTTTTAAATTTTTTGTAGAGACGTAGTCTCCCTAGTCTCCTTACGCAAGCTGATCTCAAACTCTTGGCTTCAAGCAACCCTCCCATTTTGGCCTTTCAACACTTTGGGATTACAGGCATAAGCCACTATGCCCAGCCTTTTATGATCCATTTTGAGTTAATTTTGTATGTGGTGTGAGGTAGGGGCCCAAATTCATTGTTTTCAGTGTGGATATTGAGTTTTCCCCTTCCATTTGTTAAAAAGACAATTCTTTCCTGATTAAATTGTCTTGGCAACCTTGTCAAAAACCAACTGACCATAAATGGAAGGGTTTATTTCTGCACTCTCAGTTTTGTTTCTTTCATTTATATATCTATTTTTATGTCAGTTCCACACTGTCTTAATTACTATAGTTTTGCAATAAGTTTTGAAATTTGGAAGTGTGAGTCCTTCATATTTTTTCATCAATATTATTTTAGCTGTTATGGGTTTCTTACATTTCCATATGAGTTTTAGGATAAGCTTATCAATCTCTGCAAAAAAAGGCAAATGGGATTTTGATAGGGTTTGCACTGAATCTGCATATCAATGTGGGGAGTATTGTCATCTTAATAATATCAAAGTTTTTGATTCATGAATTTGGGATATGGGATGTTTATTTGTTTAGATCATTTGATCTTTTATTTCTTTCAATGGTGGTTTGGATAAAAGTTTCCAGTGTACAAGTCTTACATTTCTTTCTTTCTTTTTTCTTTTCTTTTCTTTTCCTTTCTTTCTTTTGTTCTTTCTTTCTTTTCTTTCTTTCTTTCTTTTTTTTTTTTTTTTTTAAGACAAGGCCTCACTCTGTCACCCAAGTTGAAGTGTAGTGGCATGATCTTGGCTTACCACAACCTCTGCCTCCCAGGTTCAAGTGATTCTCATGCCTCAGCTTCCTGAGTAGCTGGGATTACAGGCATGCACTGCCACACTTAGCTACTTTTTATAATTTTAGTAGAGACTTTTGCCATGTTGGCCAGGCTAGTTCGAACACCTGGCCTCAGGTGATCCACCTTCTTTGGCCTCCCATAGCGCTGGGATTACAGGCTTGAGCCCCTATACCTGGCCTTACATTTCTTTTGTTAAATTTTTTTCATGAATATTTTTTATGCTATTCCATTGTAAATTGAATTATTTTCTTAATTTTATTTTCGGATTGTTCATTGCCATATGGAGGACTTTCTGTTTTTCTACTGTGGTAATATATATATAATGTAAAATTTATCATTTTAACCATTCTTAAGTTTACAGTTCATTGGCATCAAGTATATTCACAGTATTCAAAGTGTTTTGTAACCATCCCTGCTATTTATTTCTAGAATTTTTTCATCATTCCAATTAGAAACCCTGTACTGCTTGAGCAATAACTCCCCATTACCCCTGCCTTCAGCCCCCAGTAACCTCTACTCTACTTTTAGTCTCTAAAAATTTTCCTATTCTAGGCACCTCATATAAGTGCAATCATACAATGTTTGTCCTTTTGTGTCTGGCTTGTTTTACTTAGCATGTTCTCAAGATTTGTCCATGTTATAGCATAGCCAAACTATTTTCCACAGCATTGAACTATTTTACACTTCTACAAGCAATGGACAAGTGTTTCAATTTCTCCACATTTTCACCAACACTTGTTATTTTCCATTTTTTTATAATAGTCATCCTAATAGAGGTAAATACTGTTTTTAAATTAAGAATTAAACTCTATTTAACAATCTTTTTAATGGTAGAACACCTGATCCCTCAGACGGGCATATGGAAAGCCTGTTTCATTGAACAGAAAGTCAAGGATTATTGTGAATTTTCCCTATTCACTGTTAGCTTTGCTTCTTTATTATAATAATTATAATAATTCCTTATTAATCTAATTGTACTAATTTCCATAACTTTTAGAGTTGAGGATGAATCTTTAATGTAAGGCTGGGCTTTTTAAGAGGAATACTTTAAACATTTATATATATCATTTTAAAGTTTGGAAACTATAACTCTTCCTATATTTTTTGTGACATTAAAGACAACAGAAACCAGTGGTAGAACTCTGCCAGACAAGGGTGAAGAGGTCTGTGGATATTTCTTGAACCCCTCCTTATTGTCACCAGAATGTTCACCAACAACCACAAAAAAGAAAACAGAAGACATGAGTGATCTCCCCTCCGAAAGTCAAAGGAGCATACCTCTTGCTGTGACTGATGCTTTAGAGCATATTATGGAACAACTCAATGTTTTGACGCAGGTGGGCATGACACAGGTGGCATGCATTGCACTTGGGGGTAAGATACACAGAACAATTCTGGATACAGCAAGTTGCAAGTTGCAGAACTAGCAGAGCAGGGGAAATTTTTCTTTACTAGCAAAGCAAACTCAAGGTAGCAATGCCCTAAGCAAGATCTTGTGGAGATAATACCACTTAACCCATTTGTAAGGAAATATTTCTAGCCATAAGAAAAATGTGTTGGAAGTAACCATTTCTGGTTAGTATGCAATACTGCCAATGTTTATAGTTTTTTACTCTGAAAATATTCTCACAGTCCAGTATTTAACTTCTCTTATTCCATAGCTTCTTACATTGATACAGTGATCTTCTAGGCATAATGGTTTTGCATTCCTATGTTAGAATATTACCCAGTTTTTTGAGGCCAGTTTACCTTTGCAAAGGAAGAATACAGTGGATCTTAAAAAATATCCCAAAATTCTTCCAACTCTTGGTTACAAGGTATAGATGTAAGGGAAGTGGTATGTTGAAATGGGTACACCAAAGAGCTCTTCCAGCTCTGCTGATTCATTGTTCCCTTTGAATAAGTCTTCTCTTGTTCCTCTTTATGTGTAGAATGAGAATGCTAGATACTAATATTTGTCAGAGTGGGCAGTAGCAAGTTATATAAAAAGATGGTAAAATATGAACTACAGAGACGTCAATTACTTGTCCAGAAAAAAAATTGAAATAGAAAAAGCTTTTGCATAGAAATTACCAACTGGTTCTCAATCCTGACTGTACATAATAATCATTAGGGCACGTATACCTGGTTCTCACCTCCAGGAAGTCCATTTTCATTGGTCTGGAATAAGGCCCTAGCATCAGTCTTTTAAGCACCCCTACGTGATTCTGTTTTACAGCCAGTGTTGAAAACTGCTAATTTAAGTGAATGTTTTTATCCTATAGATATCACCTCATGACTTTTAGAGGCATCTGACAGATTGTGAGAAAGAGCAGTGTGAGAACTTGGAGTTATTATGATTCGCTCAATGAAAATCATATTAAAAATCACTCACTTTCAGCTGGGCGCGGTAGCTCATGCCTGTAATCCCAGTACTTTAGGAGGCTGAGGCGGGCGGATCACGAGGTCAGGGGTTGAAGACCAGCCTGGTCAACATAGTGAAACCCCATCTCTACTAAAAATACAAAAATTAGCCAGGCGTGGTGGCACCCACCTGTAATCCCAACTACTTGGGAGGCTGAGGCAGGGGAATCACTTGAACCCTGGAGGCAGTGGTTGCAGTGAGCCGAGAGCATGCCGTTGCACTCCGGCCCGGGCAACAGAGCAAGACTCTGTCTCGAGAAAAAAAAAAAAAAAATCACTCACTTTCATTTTGTAATATTGTGCTAGACGTGACTTTCTCTGTATTCATCAGACATGTCTTTCCCTTAAATGTTCTTGCCCTCTTCACTTCATGTCAAATTTAGTTGTAGTTGGTTTGTTTCCCATATTGCTATGACTTCCTCACCTAAACTGTTACCTTTCATTGTTGGGTCCTCATTAGGGTCTCTCCCAAGTCAATCTTTCCGTTCCCTGTTCTGTCCGTTTCATGACCTTTTTCTCCTCCTTTTTACCAGATTGAGAGCTAAATAAATCACCTTAAGCTCTATTGAATTTCTCTATGGTTTTAAATTTTTAAGGGATGGAATCCTTTTACATATTAAAAAGGTTAGAAGCAGGCACAACACTTGCGAAAGGGGAGCAGTGAATCTGTGGGCAAGTAGCAAGGAAAATAAAGACGTTCTGGTTCACTTTACAGATGACTTAATACCACCTAACTTAGTTGGAGGGTGTTTATTGTTACTGAACCATAAATAGAAATAAATTTAAATGAAATTATGTTTTAGATGGTAGACAGATGGCGTTAACCAGTGTTAAAGGTGTTAATAATAAATATATAAATAACTTTTAGCATTTGAAGCTGTGATAATGTATGAAAGGTGTCTGAAGGGCTGGGCAGAGTGGCTCACACCTATAATCCCAGCACCTTGGGGGGCCAAGGCAGAAGGATTGCTTGAGCCCATGAGTTCAAGACCAACCTGGACAGTATAGTGAGACCTCATTTCTTCTTTTATCTTTTTATTTTATAGAGGCAGGGTCTCACTATAGTTGCCTAGAAAGTTTTGAACTCCTGGGCTCAAGTGATTCACCCAGCTTGGACTCCCAAAGTGCTAAGACCTCATTACTACCAAAAAAAAAAAAAAATTAGCCAAATAGAGTGGCACACACCTATGGTCACAGCTACCCAGGAGACTGAGATGGGATTATCACTTGAGCCCAGGAGGCAGAGGTTGCAGGGAGCTAAGATCAAGCCATTACACTCCAGCCTGGGCAACAGAGTAAGACCCTGTCTCAAAAAAAAAACTGTCTAATAAAATGCTTGGCACATAGTAGGCACTGAATAAATAGTACAATGTATTATCAACATCACTATTTTTAATTAGTAATGATCTACAGATAGTATAAAATATTAAGGCAAAAGCTATTAAATAATATTTTTAAAAATTGGTTATATTCAAAAGATGATAGAGAATCAATATGTTATCTTAAAACCGGTTGACTAAAATACTAAGTGCTATGCCTTTCCTATATGTACTCTACCATTAGGTAACCAAATAGTAGATGAGGAAAATTTCTCTTATTTATTAGTTATCCCAACTAACAAAATGGTTCTTTTTGTTTGTTTGTTTTGAGATGGAGTCTCGCTCTGTCACCCAGGCTGGAGTGTAATGGCACGATCTGGACTCACTGCAACCTCTGCCAACTGGGTTCAAGTGATCCTCCTGCCTCAACCTCCTGAGTAACTGGGATTACAGGCACATGCCACCACGCCCAGCTAATTTTTGTATTTAGTAGAGGTGAGGTTTCACCACATTGGTCAGACTGGTCTCAAACTCCTGACCTTGTGATCCATCTGCCTTGGCCTCCCAAAGTGCTGGGATTATAGGCATGAGCCATGGTGCCTGGCGTCTAACTAACAAAATGTTTTAATGATAGAATTAGAATACCGTTATTTGCAATCTCCAAGAATAGATGCAGCCGTTGACTCACTGTGACATTCATGAAAAGAAAAACATTATTAATCTACCTTCTAATTAGAGAATAGGCTACCACCTGTAGTCTTTCCAAGGCATCTAACATGATCAAGCCTTTGGATCCAGCAGTCAACTTAGAGAATATACAGAAGATGGAAGAACAAGCTGAACTTCACCCTAAGTGTGCAGTTTCTGAGCTTCTCAAATGGCCTGAGCTTATCAACAGACAAATTGTAAATAAAGCAAGGGAGAGGTTGAGCACCTGTAGATTAAGAGAGTCTTTAAGTGACACATTAATATGAATTCCTGAAATGGGAAAGAAAATTATAGTGTATAGGGATGTACACCTGAGAAATAAAACCATAAAGAAACAAGAAAGCAGTAATTGTTAAGGTCAGGAGAGTGGCTGTTACAGAGGGAGGTCACGTGGTAGGCACATGGAAGGCTCTCTGGGGTGGCTGGCAGAATCCAGTTCTTGCTATGTATGATGGTTTTGAGGATGTATTTCTTTTAAGAATCTATTAAGTAACAATACATGTACCTTGTGTGGGTTCCTGAATAATCTATGTTTTATTTTATAATAAAAAGTTTAAAAAAAAAAAGATACAAAAGAATGAAGGCAGAGTAGCCAATATCCCAAAAAATTAGATTTCCCAAGTTTAACATATGTATAAAACGTATATATGTTAACATTTAATATATATACATATATGTGTATATATGTAAGTATTCTGGATGTGTTTTAACTCTTTCAGCTAATAAATAAGAAGAGGACTCTTCAAACCCTGTGTGTCCAACACTAGCATAAGCATTTTACATGCATTATTTTATTCAGTCCTCCTGACAACTCCACAAGGTGATATTAGCATCTTCTAGGTGAAGGCACTGCAAGCAACTGTTACATTTTCAGAGCAATCTAGCCATCTGTCTGCAGTGCTATAGGTACAGTGTGCCATGGATTGGATTGTGACAGAATAAGTAGTGATGACATTTCAGTGGCATCTGGCTGGCATGTGGAATTTCGCACCCCCTCCCCTTCTCCACTAAGTATGTAGCTTATGGCACCACTTAGAACCCTGTGTAGCCTCATCTATGGTTTTGGTGTTTTGGAAGATCAGGCATAAAAGGTCTGATCTTTTACTGCTTTTTTTCTCAAACACATCAGTTTGGGTTTTGTTTTGTTTTTTTTCTTTTTCTACGACTGCTTGATAATGCCTTGCCCTTGTGGTAGGGCTCAGAAGCAACGCAAGTTCTGGGGCTCATTTCTGAGCCAACTTCTTGGCAGAAAGGTGGGAGTCCCATGTCTAAAAAGGATATTCTAAGCAGAGATTGTCATTATCATCCTCACCACCAGGGGACCAGGCATTGATTATTTTGTCCTCCTTTTTGCAGACTGTTTCAATCTTGGAGCAGCGACTGACTTTGACAGAGGATAAACTGAAAGACTGCCTTGAAAATCAGCAAAAGCTTTTCAGTGCTGTTCAACAGAAAAGCTGAATAAAAAATTCATTTTCATTTGTTGGGCAGAGGCACAATAAATGAACAAATGTACGTAGGAAGGCAGTGCAAGATACTCCACGCAACACAACCACGTGCTTTTTATTCCACAGCAAGAATACACTTACCGTGGCATTTCTTAAAAGGGTGAGCAACAGAACAAAAGGTAGTAAAGGCATATTTAAGGACTAATTTAAATACACAAATCAATGTGAAGGACTAATTTACATTACTGTCATTTATGATTGCAGTAATAAAGTGATAAGCATTCAAGCAACTGTATTTTCCCCATATTATTTCTAAGTGTCCATTTTCATTTCTAGGCCAAATCCTGCCAGGAGAGTAACCAAATCTCTAGATTTCACTGTTAAATCATTTTGGATTCACCACATTCAGACAGTCATGGGGTGAAATAATTCACTTCCCTGTAAAATAGCATCCTGTATGCAAAGAATGAGTTATTGATCTGACTTTTTATATTTCTTTCTGTTCAAAAAAATTATCCTTACTAATGCCTTGAAAAGATGAATAAAAATTCCCAGACCACAGAATTTCCACAGCAAGAATACAGTTATTTTAATTAACAACAGCATAGATATGTCATAGGGTTGTTTTACTTAATTTATGGTGTACTTTGCTTATCCATTGGCCAACTGGAAGGAAATGAAACACACCTTTCTATCACAGATGAATGTGCTGAATGATTTGGGTTGTATCTGATCATGGTTCACAAAAATTGTGTTAGTGTGATTTCAGTATGCCAAAAAGCCAGAGTGATGCAACAGTGACATTTAAAAATATGCACACATGTATGTACACACGCTTCAGAAATGTTGTTGCTTAGGGTGCTTTGGGCAGCTAAATAGTAAGTACTTTTTAAATTTTAGCATCATCATCTTCCTATTTAATGAATTGTGATTTAAAACAAAATGAAAATGAGCCAGATATTCTAAAAGATCCTGGTTACAAATTAAGAATTTAATTTTATTTTAAACCAAATTGAGATTAAATTGGAGAAAAGCAAGCAAATTAATTTCAGCTTGATTATCAACCTGTATCAAGAACAAAGATGGAAGGAGGTGTCCCCATTTATGGTGTGTATAGGTAACATAGGGAAAATACTATTCTGTGTTTTGGAAGAGAAGAAATAGTGCCTTCCTATTTATTTCTATATCTAGAAATTTTTCTCAAATTTCAGTTGTATCTATGAGATGGGTTTCTAAGTATCTTATTGTGTGTTATAAGTGCCTTTTCATATCATACTAAGTGTGAGCTTCTGGACATTTTCAAGAGCTTACAAAGACTAAGTGACTATTTTTATAACCTCATTGAGAAGACTAAGAAACAAATGAAATGTCCTATCAATTTTGTTTACTTCGTCATGCTTCAAACAATAAAGACATTTTTGCTTTAAAAGCAAAAGTTGTTCCTTTTCTTTTTAAATGATTAAAACCCGGAAATACTAAACATCTTATCTTCCAGCTCACTCTGTCTTTAATGTGTGTGAGAATCATCTGGAGAGCTTGTCAAAATAGTTTCCTGGGCCCTATCTCCAGAGCTGATTCCATGGGTCCGGTGGGGCCCGCTCATTTGCATCATTCACAATCTCATGGTGATGCTGATGCTTTGGGCTGAGGGCCACACTTTAGGAACAACCTGTAGCCACTTCTTTTTTGTTTGTTTGTTTTAGAGATAGAGTCTCACTCTGTCGCCAGGCTGGAGTGCAGTGGCATGATCTTGGCTCACTGCAACCTCCACTTCCCGGGTTCAAGCCATTCTCCTGCCTCAGCCTCCTGAGTAGCTGGGACTACAGGCACATGCCACCATGCCCAGCTAATTTTTGTATTTTTTATAGTAAAGACGGGGTTTCACCATGTTGGCCAGGATAGACTCAATCTCTTGACCTCGTGATCCGCCCGCGTCGGCCTCCCAAAGTGCTAGGATTACAGGCATGAGCCACCATGCCCAGCCACCACTTCTTACAACCTAATGTTGCCACATATTTTTTACAGTCATCACAGAACTTTACAAGTTATATAAAAATAGTGATGATATAAATGCAGATGCCTTGAAACTTTTTCAATAGGCTCAATTTTCTAACTCCTGTCTTTATTTACTTACTTTTTATAGCATTTGAGGAATCTCCTTCATCTTCATCAGATTCCAGCCCCTCCCTTTCCTAAGTTGAATATGCAGCTGCCTGATCAACATTTCCACTTGGAACTCTAATAGGCATTTCTAAATAGGTCCAAAACCAATTCTTCTGCCCTCTACCTCTAACTCCCCACCCTAACCAGAGTCACTAGCAGCCTCCTTCCTGGACTTGCATGTCTCAATAAAATTACAACTTTCCGGCTGGGCACAGTGGCTCACACCTGTAATTCCAGCATTTGGGGAGGCCAAGGCAGACAGATCACAAGGTCAAGAGATCAAGACCATTCTGGCCAACACAGTGAAACTCTGTCTCTACTAAAAATACAAAAATTACCTGGATATCGTGGTTCATGCCTGTAGTCCCAGCTAGTTAGGAGGCTGAGGCAGGAGAATCGCTTGAACCTAGGAGGTGGAAGTTGCAGTCAGCTGAGATCAAGCCCCTGTACTCCAGCCTGGCGACAGAGCGAGACTCCATCTCAAAAAAAAAAAAAAAAAAAAAAAAAAAAAAGACAATTTTCCTTCCCATTGCTCAAGCTGACCACTTGGAATCCTCTTTAATTCCTCTCTTTCACACGCCACAGTTCATTACTTCAGGGCATTTTGTCAGAATGTAGAAAACACCTGACCACTTTTTACCACCTTCGTCTCCCACCATGATCCAAGCGACTGATCTCTTGGCTCACGACCACAGTTGCCTCCTGTTTTAGTCCCTTTGTGTTGCTATAAAGGAATACCTGAGGCTGGATGATTTATAAAGAAAAGAGATGTGTTTGGCTTATAATTCTGCACACTGCACAAGGAGCATAGTGCAGATGCTTCTAGTGACGGCTTCAAGCTGCTTTTGCTCGTGGTGGAAAGTGAAGGAGAGACTGCAGCACATGGTACAGAGGAGGAAGGAAAGAGGGGAGGGTGGTGCCAGGTTCTTTTTAACAATCAGTTCTCACAGGGACTAAGAGAACTCACTCATTACTTCGAGGAGGGCATTGGACCATTCATGACCCAAAGAGCTCCCCTTAAGCGGTGCCTCCAACAGTAGAGATCAGATTTAAACATGAGACTTGGTGGGGCCAAACAAACCATATCCAAACCATAGCACCTCCTGACCAGTCTACCTGATGCCACCTTGCACAGCAGGCCACAGTAGCTCTTGAAAATGCTGAGTCAAAGCACTTGGCTCTTCAGCACAGAACACTTCGGGGCTTCCCATCTCCCAGTAAAAGCCTAAGAGGCAACCTCTCCTCTTTAAATTTCCCTTTCCTTCTTGACTAATCCTTAATCACCACCCTCTGGCCATAGTGGACTCTTTGCAACCCTTTGAAGAAGCAAAGTGTTCCCACCTGAGGGCATCTGTAAACTTCCTCTGCCTAGAACTCTCTGCCCTCAGACACTGATGCCTTAAAGCATTCGACTTGTACTCACCTGGCACTTTTTCACAGGTGTCCTCCCTGACTGCCCGAGTGACCCTCTCTCCATTCACTCCCTGATCCTTCACCAGGCTTCGTTTTCTCCAGTGCATTTATTACCATCTGACACATACATCAGTTCACACATATGTCTTTCCCTGGTAAGCAACTCTGCCTGTCAGTCATTGATTGATCTTAGAGCTGAGAATGGTTTCCAGTTTGTAGTAGGCACACAGCACATATTGTGTGAATACAGGACAACAGAAAGTTGCAGATTTTTCTCCTCCTCCACCCCTAAAGTGGCTTATCAGCTATGATTAAGTCCTGAGGAGAATGCCTCAGAACCCCATTTCGAGAAACTAAATTTGATGTGAGTGGCTAAGCAGCAGTGAGTCCCCAGGATATCTGTGATAGGGGAAAATCAGCAAAGGAACCATATTAATCTTCAGCCACATCAACTGATACTATCACTTCCTTCTTAGTGAGTATGGCTCAACCAAATAGAATATAATAGGGTTTCTCAATATTCGTTTTCCTAGCTGCTGCAGATAGGATTTTTTTTTCTTACAATAAGTATTTCTCTTGGACTTATACAAGTTGTTAAAGTAGATGTTAAAGGTTTTACAGGCTTTTTTAAAAAAGATAACTTCTCATTTGCCTGACGTATCTGTTAAGCAGAGGCACATGAAAAATTTTTAAAGTTTATTTGAGCAACAGTGACTCATCAATCAGACGGTGCCAAACTGCAAGCCGTTTGGGCTCCCCTGAAGGGAGTGCAAGGGGAAAACTTTTATAAGGTGTTTGAGGAAGCAATAGAGAAAATATCTGGATTGCTTAAAGTGGAACAGCAGCCTTAAAGTCTCTAGTTGGAGATTAGTTGGTGGGCTCTGATTTGTTAAGCTTAAATGTGGTCTTCCTAGGATATGACCACTTACTCTGAGTTAGATTTCAGTTTGCTTACATAGGAACTCTGGGTGCTAGAGCTGCCTCAGTGTAATGGGCTCCCAATTAATTATTTTAGCAAACCAAGGGTTAGTTTGTATCTCATTTACAAATAGATTATTTCTTATTTTAACCTTGAAGATTAGTTTCTTTAAATAGTACAGAAGAAAATAGGAAATTCAATTAGTGAACTTTAGTGGAATATGTGAAAATAATCTCAGGGAAGATTTAGTTTATTCAATAATTATGGTGAATACTTTAAAACTACAATGTAGAAAGAAGGTAAACTGATAGGCTTTACCTTTCTAACGATTATTTAGTGGATAGGACCTCTGGGTTTTACTAAGGCTTTGGAATTTTAATACAAACTCGTGCTACTCATTTCTTCCAGGGACAGAGCAAGCCACTTGCCTCTGGGATGAACACAAATCCAGCTGCTGAGCTGTTTTGCTTGGCTCATAGTTTTTTAAAAATAATTTTTATTTACCTGCTGATATTTAAAAGTTGGAAATTCTATATTAACATTTAGGTCTCTGGCTTGTCTTAGGAATTCAAAAGATCAGCAACCATTGGGCCTGTATTCCTCCATGGCAGCAATGAACTAGAGCAGGCTGGAGGGGACACACCCTCCTCCATATTGCCACCACCCTCCTCCACTGCTTAACATTACCTAGATGGCCTCTGCCTAGTTAACACCGGAGAGATCCAAGTCTTTCTCAGAGTGTTCTAAGAAGACTGCAGCCATCTGTCCTCAATCCCTTTCCGAGATTATTTTCCGAGCATACCTCTTTTTCCACATTCTTTATCCCTTCGCCCACAATCGTGTATTTTTTCCTCTGCCCTGCTGAACTTTTCACCATTATGGGATGAAGCGTGCCACTCCCTTCCCAATTCCACTTACATTGAGCTGGCTTTTTCCCTGCCCCCTGCATAATTCTTCTCTTCCTGGAAAACTCCTACTCATCCTTTAAAAGGCGGCTTGCATATCCCTGCATTCTTTTGCTGTTGTGCTTCCTCAGCATTCTGTGCTTATCTCTGGTACAACATAGATTGCAATACAGTTACAGCTCTGCCTCTTCCACTATGACTTAACCTACCCAAAAGGCAGGCGTTGTCATCTTTAGATTCTCCACCTAGGGTATTGTCTGGCTCATAGGAGGAGCTCAACAATTCATTCTGCAATAAATGAGTATTTTTATTTTAATTTATTCAAGTGTTTCTTTCTAAAACGTTGCTCTATGCTTCACTTAAAGCCAAAAGCAGTTAAAACTAGGGCAGGTGGGCTGGAAGAAATAGGATAGGCAAAAATTTAGATGCTCGACATTTGGGGCTAAGAGGGCACTATTATAACCTGCCATTTATTATATAGCTCAGTAGTTACGTAGATAGTCTTATAAGCCAGAAAAACTTGATACAAATTCTGGCTATGCCATTCTCTAGCAGTGTGACTGTCAGGGAAGGTACTCACAAAACTAAGTTTCCTTAACTTTAAAAGGTAAAAATAGGCCAGGTGTGGTGGCTCACACCTGCAATCCCAGCACTTTGGAAGGCTGAGGTGGGTGGATCACGATGTCAGGAGTTCAAGACCAGCTTGGCCAATATAGTGAAACCCCGTCTCTATGAAAAATACAAAAAATTAGCTGAGCATGGTGGCGAGAACCTGTAATCCCAGCTACTCGGGAGGCTGAGGCAGAGAATTGCTTGAACCCAGGAGGCCAAGGTTGCAGTGAGCCGAGACCGCACCACTGTACTCCAGCCTGGGCAACGCAGCAAGTCTCTGTCTAAAAAAAAAAAAAGTTAAAAAGAATAATGCAAATTGCTTTTTTGAAATGATGAGTACAGTAGTTATCATGGAGTAAGTGATCAATAAATGGTAGATATTATTGTGATTAATAAATCATTTTGTTTCTCTGAACTACATTT